CCCCCCTGCCGGTCCTTCCTCAGGGCTGGACCTGACTGAGGTGTCTCTTCTCTCCGCTGGCGATTCAAATGAACCTTGCAGGAAGAATCTGCCTTTGAGATGTCTGTCTTTTTAATTTAGATGAAATTGGCCTGTATTTTCGAAAGGGAGATGAAGACTGGCAGGCACAGCATGATTATGCACTTCTTGTTTCCTTATGCAAACAGGATCACACTCTATGCTCGCTACAGTTTGTGGCCACGCGTTGCACTGGCAGTAAGCAGACTTGACACTCTGCCGTGCCTGATCACATCCGTGCTGATTTATTGGCTTTTTCTGTGGTCCCCATTCATTGCTCCCTGGCATCGCTCGCTGGCTCGCGCTCGGGCCGTGCCGCTGCTGGCGGGGGATCTGGGAGAGTGCCAGGCACGTGCCTGGCTTCCCTGCCGCACGCGCCTCCCAGGGCTCGCCGCAACGACTCCCTGCCATAATCTCTGCTTGTTCCCGCTTTCCTCTCTCTGCGGTGACCATTAGGCTCAGGTCAGGGCATAGAGCACGCACAGTGTTTCGGCACCAGGGAGTTCCTGTGTCCTTTTACTTTTCATGCTGAAGGGTTGATTTTTTTCAGGAGACTTTGGGGTCTGAGATTTTCTCTTTATTTTTAAATGATGGGCTTTTTCGTTCTTCAGCCCACAGTGATTTCTATATACGCATATTCTCCAGATGTTCCCGAATTTGTCTGAGGTTAAATAGGAAACTTTAGGAGGTTTGGATACATTTGGATATAATCAGGATCCAAAGTCTATAAATAATCTTCACAGTTCCTTGTGCAAGTCTTATCAATTACTTCTTGTTTTGTCATCTGCAAGGTTATGGAGTACCTCCACAACATAGTCAAGACTGGAATGATCCTGCCTTTGCAGTCCATTTTCACAGCAGTTACAGATTAATAAACTGGTTAATTATCTTGTTACATTAGACTTTTTCAGTTTTACAGGATTAACAGCTATGTAATATTTGTTGCTGTGTGATACTAATAGCTTACATAAGCATCATCAGAGCACAGCTGTGGTGGTTAATTGTACACCAATTGCTGGGAAGCCCTTTGTCTAAAAGCAATTCAATCAAAATTGGGTTTATGTTATGAATTTGTTCAGCTTTTGAGCTTTTGATAGCGTTCATAGCTTTAAATACTAGCATTCATGGACTAGGGCAGGTTACTTCTCAGCATCTTTTGAAATTTTCCCTCAATGTGATAGCAGTGAAAACAGTTGCTCAGTAAAAATATTATTCTGTTGGAAACTGTAAATGTTTTCTGCACAACCTGCAACATTTTCCTGTATAAAATCACAATTTTCTTTTTTCCATATATATTTATTCGAGTATGCATAGTAATGAAAATTAGACTTGGCAAAAGTGTGTTCCACATAGTGTCTCCAAAATCTCCAAAGTAATAGTTTTCAAACGTTTTTCTTTTTTTTTTTTTGTGCATAGATGTACAGACATACACACATAGACACACACTATGTAGTGATCTGCAAACCCTTCTTGTTCATCATGTCTTGTGTTGCTCAGATTCAAGTACAGGATTCAGATGATAACAAGAAAGTTAAGCTGCTACATCACTATCACCATTTAGATATGTAAACTGTGTAAACAATAACAAATGCTTTATAATATGTCGTCTTCATTAAGAAGACTGTTTCAGTATTTTTCTTTTTGTTTAACATATTTTCAGGTATCTGCACTTTAATCAAATAGACACGTTGGAACCTGAATCCTTTACCCATCTTCCAAAACTTGAAAGGCTGTAAGTTTGTTTTTCTTGGGGTAAGATTCAGAAGTCAGATTGCTTCTTTGTTTGAATTAAATTAAATGTTAGAAACTGGAAAATAATATTTTTATCATTCCCATAGATTATTTTTAGTCTGAATTTTTTTATTGTAACTACTGTCTTTGCCAAGAACACTTTGATCAGGTTGACCTTAGAGGCGTGCAAAAGTGAGCATTGCCTGTGGTATATTTTTCTATTGCAAAACTATTTCCCAAAGAGCTGTGATCAGTATTTGGCCTAAAATAAATGTTATGAATGAAGTAGTAGAAGATTTACATTATGATCATTATGACTTTTTTTTTTTTTGAGTTTCTCATTTGAATGCTTATGAACTCCCTTTCTTTGGGTTACTTTGTCTTTTTGTGGCTTTTTTTTCCCCATATGGACACACCAAATACACCTTGGAGGCCACTTAAAAAATAGCAGCCAATGAATTGCTGAAAAAAGTTCAATTTTTTTTTGTTTTGTTTTGTAGAATTACTTTCTCTTAAAGGACTTCCAGAAGAATATAAGTTAAATGAGTACTTCTCAAAATCTGAATTATTACATGCATATTTCTGTGCTTTTTAACAGATTTTTGCATAACAACAGAATAGCTCATTTGATTCCTGGAACATTTAGTCACTTAGAATCTATGAAGAGACTGTAAGTAAATTGAATTAATATTGAACTAAGGGAAGTTTAAATAATCTAATTATACTGTATCTTATCTTGTAATATTTATCTTTCTTGCAAATGCCTTTCAATGTGTAATTGTTTTAAATATTAAATAATTTTTTCTAAGCTGTGCTCCAGTTGATTATGTACATAGATTGAGACCGTTGCTTCATATCCTACCGTCTTTAGTGACTGTCTAAATCCATTGTTTTGTTTCCTGTCTTGGAATTATTTGTAATCATACGGTCTTGTTTTGTAGAATAAATAATATACACGGATCCTTCTTTGGTTTGGGGGGTTGTGGGGCCTTTTTTTCCCCTCTTGTCTATGTCTTACTGGATGATCCTTCTATGATCTCTTTCAATATTTGATTATTTTGGTATTTTCTCTTAATTGTTTTACTTGTCTTTATCTGATGATAAAAACATGGTTATGAAAAGGTGCTTGGTGGTTTAAGGATATAAGTATTACTTTCAAAAGCAACTTAAGAAGCCAGTTCTTGAAATGCCATTAACCTGGAAAATTAGGGGCTTCTTAGTCCCTCAGTAGCATTTGAAAACTTAAACTCAATAAGAGTACCATAGTAAGGTGACTTTCAGAGGGTTTTCCATCCCTCATTTCGGATCTTCACTGACCTAGGATAAACATTCTTTAAATTATCCAAGAGTGCCATTTTGAGGAAGGCAGTCGTGCATGCATTCCCCTTTCTGGGAGGACTGCCGAGGGTGTCCTGTGCGGCAGGTCACAGCGCCAGCTCTACCAGGAGAGGGGATCTCAAGGGGTCTTGTGGCACTGCTGGTGTAGGACAGTTCTGAAACATTACCTTTAACTGTGGGCGAAAGGCAGAATAAAGTAAATCTTGATGATGAACACACTTTCCATAGTAGCTACTTCACTCACACCTCCCTTAAAGTCCTGTGGAGTTCAAGCAAACAGAAGGAGATTCTTCTTCACCTAATACCTGGGTAAAGGGGAGTTTTAATAGTGGCTATTAGGGGAACAGGACACTGGGCTAGACTGACCTGATGTCTTCTAACTTGGGACAGCTTATCCCTAAGGGTCACGCTGTGACGTTCATGTTCTGGATTGAAGTTCTACCAATAACTTCTGATATACTGGGAGACGTTTGTACAGTAGCTTGTAAAATAGTTTTGTTCATTCTTGCCTGTTTTTCATAGGAGAACAGGGAAGAAAAAATATCTAGAGAAATAACTCTTTGTACAAGAGGTTAAAAAAATATTAAAAGACAATATGATCAAAAAGTTTATGACCCCCAAAGATATACCAAACTGAGTTTGCTTTGTCATGCAACTTTATTTCCAATTTATGTATAGATATATTTAATGGTACAGATTTCTGTACTTAATGGGTTTTTTTCCTACAGGGCCCTCCACCAGAAAGTGCAGTGCTCCACATAGTAACAGGGCCCTCTGCTACTGGAAAGAAAGTCAACAGAATTTATGCGTTCTTGTTATCTGCAATAGGCAGGTGTTTTACGAAGTTACTGACCCACTGAACTCAACAAGAGCTTAATGCTTGAATAAAACTGCGGGTCTTTGTCTCAGTTGCCTGATCAGCAAAATAGGAAGTTGTAAAAATGTCAGGTTAGCTGTGAGTACTACAGTAATTAGTATTCAACAGAAGAAATGTGGGGAGAATGGTATAAGTTCCTTATTTAGGCAAAGTTTGTCTAACATCTAAATACACCCTGATTAATTCACTGAATGCTAGAATTAAAAAAGAAACATTTAGATGCTTGCTATATTGAACACAGTCTTACCCATGCAGTAAAAACAACGTTCATTTTTGTAATAAAGACTACCAGAATGCATATGAGCAAGTAACCATCACCTGTATTCTGTTATTGCCCCTTGTCTGTATTCACAGATAAAGGCACTGCTGGTATTGCAGAACCATTTCGATCCTAACACAATAGTCAGAGCTTGCTGACAGGTGTGGTTGCTTCTTGTTTTGTGCAGACGTTTGGATTCAAACGCTCTTCACTGTGACTGTGAAATCCTGTGGCTGGCAGAGCTGTTGAAGACGTACGCAGAGTCGGGTAATGCTCAAGCAGCAGCTACCTGTGAGTATCCACGAAGGATCCAGGGAAGATCAGTGGCCACGATAACACCAGAAGAGCTTAACTGTGGTGGGTTTGCCACTTCCTGCTGGCTTCTTTAATGTGTTAAATGTATCTAAGCTATATTTTTTTTTACAGAACTGCTTGCTTTTACTCCTCAGCCTATCTTTAATGTAACAAATATTGCCATATTTGAAATTTCTCATTGAGGAACTAAATGTGATTATCCAGAAATAGTTTATTTTTCCTTTTTATATTTCAGTTTTGATCATAAAAGGATTGTCAACTAGGGTCTTTGGTATTATGTTAATATTGTTTGGTGTCCTTTATTCCCTTCTGTACAAGGGAGAGGGAAGAAAAAAGCTGTACAGAATTGCTCCTGATTTCACAAACCTTATTGTTAAAACTCTTCTTGATATGATTGGCATTGGGGTCAGGCCACTTTCTTCTGAGCTATACTTAAAAGGAGTGCCCTGCACAGGCGCTAAAATCCTCTGTCACTGAAGGATTAATGGATAGTCCCTTTTACTGTAATTCTTTTGTTCGTCTGTATTCCTTCAGTTCAGGGGCGCAGTTTTAGGGGTGCAGTTTTCTGGGCACCCCAGGGCTTGGCCCTGCACCTCTTCTGTTCCAAAATCAAAATGCAGATTTCTCATCAAGCTATGGGCATTTGCCTGCCCAGCCACATGACGAGGCCAAGATATAAAATAAGTAAATTGTCCTTTTGCTTATGTGTTGAATATGATTATGATCATGAGAATTACGACTGTAAGTGTCTACAAGGTTCTTGAAAAATACACCAAAAATGGGATTTGGTGCAAGAATAATTCATATGGCATCTTACCAGCTCTCTACACATCTAAAGAGCCTGAATATGGAAACTGCAGGAAGCAAGCTGGACAAATTGTTCTGTAGGAGGCAGGTTAGGCTCTGATACTTATCTAGAGGAAGTTATTTTAAACGGCACTTGTGCTTGCTGCTTTAAAGTTTTTCCTTCATAAGAAAATTGAGCCTCTGTTCAAATAAATAAAACAGCTACGTTAGAACCTGATACAAATTTGCACAATCTATTTCCAGTCTGCTAAAAGGTCCTCAGGAGTAATGGAGGAGGTTGGAAAGCCCGCAGTCCCTTTTGCATAGGGAGAAGTGTGTTTAATCCTGATTAAGCGTATAAATATTTTAAGTTAAAACATTTGTGAAAAATACTTTTCTACAAGGTGTATGGAAAACTTTTTATTTACCATTCTTTAGTTGTTTTAAACCAAGTAAGACTTCCTTATGCATTTTATTGTTGATACAGAGAGGCCAAGAATTACATCAGAGCCTCAGGATGTGGACGTTACCTCAGGGAATACAGTGTACTTCACTTGCAGAGCTGAAGGCAATCCTAAACCAGAAATTATCTGGCTTCGAAACAAGTAAGTTTAAATGAGGAAGAGAGAATCTTGATGTAAATATGCTTGTCTGTGTGTGAGTACATTTCTGGGTGCATGTCCACACGCATTACTTGCTGACATATGAAACATTTACAGCCGAAACATATATTTAAAGGAAGTATATGAAGTAATAAGGGCCCATATCTGTTTTATTAGTAATTCAAAATGCTTAAGAGCTGATAACTTTAGAAATTATTAATTTATGACTATAATATTATTGGTAAGATTTTCAACTGTAATTATACCTGCAAAGCTGCTTGCACCTGTAAAGCTGTAAATCATTTATATGTGAGTACCAGGCAATCCAATGTGGACATGTTGCACATGCAGTTTGTGGGTTTAGCTAGTATTTGCATACTCTGTGCAGGTCTGTTTGCATTACATTTTGAGGCAGAGAAAAAGCTACTTTTTGAAGGGACTCCAGGTGGATAAGAGTTTTCAGACGTCCTCCTTGAGCCCCAGCTCCTTGGGGCAGCTTTCCTCCAAGGTGTAGCTCCATTCCAGGAGAGGAGAGATATATCAATTTCCAGGCTCCCCAGACCAATACATGGAGGGCAGGCAAGTACTTGTATCACGAGATTGTAGGGTAATGCATGTTGGAGGGGATCTCAGGAGGTCTCCAGTGCAACCTTGTGCTCAAAGCAGGATCATACCAGGTTACTTTCTCTAGCTGGGTCTTAAAAGCCTCCAAGGATAGAGGTGGCACAAGCTGTCTGGGCAACCTGCTCCATTGCTTCTCCTCACTGCTTAGGGGATGAAGGGAAGGGTCTATAAAAGACATGTCTTTCAGCAGCCCAAGGGCCAGCCTACTGCAGAGTGGCTGCTCAAGCTCTGCCCAGTGCCTGGCTCCCTCCAGTAGTGCTGGGCAGAGCACGGCTGAACAAGTCACGTGGCAGCACATCTTCCCCCCCTTAAATTTGAATTTTGAACACATGAATTATGAGTTTACCACTAGACTAATCAGACTTTGGCTTAATAATGCTCTTCTACAAATGGAGAACCTGATCTGGAAAATACATTCCTTTGCATTTTATATTAGCAAATGAACTATTTTAGTTTGTTAGTTGCTGATAAAATGGAACAGTGTAGAGTCCTGGTTTAGTAGCTTTGTGCTGATGTCAGTGACAACCCACATGTAGCAAGGGTACAGCGTTTGTGGACTATGTCAAGAACAGAGCCTTGAACTTGGATGGTATAATTATTTTGTTAAAATTTTCTTTGGCTCTTGTACTTTTTATAATAAACAAAGAAAACATGTATTCAGAATACACATATGAAAGAGTTTTAAGAAGAAATTTGAGCTTGGGGTGTGGGATTATTGACTCTGGCTTGTTTCCTGACTGCATGAATGAAAGCAAAGCTCTTTGCAAGGTAGTTGAATATGGCAAGATTTCAGTCAAAAGCCATTGACCTGTTGAGCGGTGTGTTGAATAGATCAGCAGTCAGGCTGGGTTTTGTTCATAGGGGGTGAGATCTCATCCCTCCTCTGTGCTTTCTTTATCATGTAGTAAGGGATGGAGTGAGAAACATTTCCTTTAATAAAAACCCTTAACTGGTCTTAGTTAATGTCACAGAAATCTATCTGTGACATACCCTGAAGACCTGATCTTAACTTAGGTTTTGAGCCAGTACAAATTATAATTATACAAATTATCATTAGCACTCCTTGAGCAATCCAGACAGAGGTTGGTACAAAGATGGTTTTGTAGCAGTTGACCCCTCCCCTAGTATGAAGTATCTCCAGTGTTGAACTTATGTACTTCCAGTGAAACATTTTAAATTGATTGGCCAGTTAGAACAGCCTTAAAAGAAAATGAGACCAGGTATGTGTATTTTGTTCACTTTTTTCCTTGTAAGCTTTTACTCATAAAAGTATTTTGGCTTTTCATTTTGAAGATGTAATACTTGCATAAGCGAAATTGGTTCATTTTTTGGTTTTTCTCTTCTTCTCTTTCAGAGAAAACTAAAAGTTCTAGTATTTTATTTAACACAGTAAATTTTTTTTTCCCCAAAGTTATTTCAGATAATATATTTGGGTTTTTATTATTTGACAATTTTCTGTGCTTGTGATTTAAAGGTTTAACTCCAGCAGATTCTTTTCTCCACAGTAATGAGCTCAGTATGAAAGAAGATTCCCGTCTAAACTTGCTAGATGATGGCACATTAATGATTCAGAATACTCAAGAAAAAGACCAAGGCATTTACCAGTGTATGGCAAAAAACGTGGCTGGAGAAGTGAAAACCCAGGAAGTTACTCTTAGGTACTTTGAGTCACCAGGTAAAGAACATCAAGTCTGAATTTTGCGTTCGGATAGAGAATTGTTTCAATTGTAAGAGTGCTAAAAATAAAATGCTTTGGCTCTTGAATGTTCTTGACATGCAGATTTCTTGTGCTTGGGCATCTTAAGAACTAGATCATGAAGTTATAATATCTCTAGAACAAAAAAGCAAATCAGCCAGTTAATTAATATCTTTATTGTAGTATGCAATTCTGATGATAGGTGTGTGGGCTGTTTGTAGATAGGTTGTGATGTTGCTCGGTGCAGTAATGTTCTCTCTGGACATCAGAAAACCACGAGTTTCCAAACAGGCCAGTCATGAAAGCTTTGGCACTCCCTGTGCAGCCATCCTTCCTCAGGAGCTTTTTAGCCTGGATCTCTGTCTAGCCAATGCTTCATGTTTGCAAGCACTAAATTCCCATCTAGGACTGTAGTGTTTCTAAATTGCAAACTATGCTGTGAGAAAATTTTGTTCTGACGCTCAGCATCAGGTAAACTTAAAATGTCACTGCAAAGCACACATGTAGTTGGGAAAAGTTACTAAAATGTAGCTTAATCAGTTTTGTCTTTCTGTGCATTTACGGCAATTTTTAGCCAGTTTGTTTTTTGGGTGTCAGTGTCTATGCCTCTGAAGAGACCTTTATAAAGATCAGCAAATGAGAAGGAAGTGTTCCAAAATTGTTTCAATGATAGTTAGGAAAAAACACCAGTGCAATTATATGAGCTTTCATTTTTTATCGATTGATATTTTTAAATGTCTGCAGCTAGATTAGGCTTAAAGTAAAGTAGAGTTTGCACCAAGATTAGAAGTATATTGGAACAGAGCTATTAAAAAAACCTCCTAGATTCCCCAAACTATTGGAATGTTTAGCTAAATTAGTGCTATGTGAGCTGAAAGACATATTTAGGCATTGCTCTTTTCTCACAGCCCGGCCAAGTTTTGTGATTCACCCGCAAAATACCGAAGTGCTAGTTGGAGAGAGTGTTACACTGGAGTGCAGTGCAACTGGGCACCCTCAGCCACGAATTACCTGGACCAAAGGCGACAGAACCCCTTTACCAAGTGACCCTCGCATCACGATAACTCCATCAGGAGGACTGTACATACAGAATGTGAAGCAGGAGGACAGTGGCGAGTATACCTGTTTTGCAACTAACAGCATAGATAATATCCATGCGACTGCATACATCATAGTCCAAGGTGAGTAATGTTAAACTAGGAGTGACATGCTGTAAAACATATTAGTATATTACTTTAAATTGTGTGGGTTTTGTCTTTTTGTTCTGAACTGTCTGAGACAAGCTAAAATTTTAAGTGTTTTTTTCTTTTAATTACACTATTCTAGTGTAGTCCATAGGGAAGTTGCTATACATTTCATTCAGAGTAAGATACTATGTATTAATTCTCTGAAAGTTGTTTCATTGATTAGTATATTGTTTTGAAATGTGTATTTCTTATTATTTTTTGTTTGCCTGTAGGAATAAACATGCAGTGTCAAATTTGTGGGGATTAAATTTTTTCTGTTTCAGGCAGCAGTCCTAGAGATTAGTATTTGTGCCTGGTGTACTAGAAATAGAGTTTTGAGTACAGATCTGTGCTGCCTTTCTTTTGTAGACACTTCAGAGAATGTGGGAACTGCGTTTTATGGAAACTATCATTGTGCCAGCTGAGGTGTTAGCATAGCTTTTCTGCAAAGCAAAAGTCAAAGTACTCTACCTTACTGTAATCACAATAATTTTGGTATTGTATGTCAATAGTATGAATATAAAGTATTTTGCGAACACCTCAAAAGACTCCAATATTTATATGGAGAATATTTTTTGCAAATGTTTTCATGCTGGAACTTCTATTTGCTAAACATTTTGGGTAACTTCTAAGTTTGTTTCTGTTCTCATGTTCTGATCTCTAGTTGGTAAGCAGGTTCAGTTGCAAATGCTTTGCTAATGAGTTCAGTTGTCCATGTGTTTTGTTCATTTATTATTCACCAATGGATAATTGTGCTTTGAGAGCTGAACAAATTACTTCTCACACCGATAATGCCATTATATTACTGCAGAAATTGGCCCACACTCCACTCACCGCTTTCCTTTTGTGTAAAGAGGAAAACAAGCAGCTCAGGATGGTTTTGCCTACATTGCATTTTCTGCACAATTTAGATGAGGATTTTTTGAGAGAAAGAGAAGAAGGTATTTTTAGCCCAGGGAACACTCTGATTCTACAAGTCTTACAGAATCTCTTATTTTGGATCTACGGCAGTAGATCCCAGAGGCCTTCACTGACATCAAGGCCAGGTTGTGAGGGAGATGTTCCTTTTACACAAGTGGCTGGCGTAACTCTCTGCCCTATAGTGGCCACAATGTGAAAGAGTCCCACTAGCATCTCTTTTCCCACCAATATGAGCTGTTCAAGTCACACAGGAAACAGTACGTAATTTCAGACAGTCGTGCATTTTTCAGTTGTTTCTTTTTTTTAACCAGTTTATTTTCTCTTTTGTAGCTCTTCCTCAGTTTACTGTCACTCCTCAAGACAAAACAGTGATTGAGGGACAAACCGTTGACTTCCCTTGTGAAGCACAAGGCTATCCCCAGCCTGTTATTGCCTGGACTAAAGGAGGTAAGTGTGTTCTGTTTTTACTTTTAAACTACTAGAATAGTTTAGCTGTCATTTTGGAATCACTCATGCACTGAAAGGAATCGCATGTATTTGTTTAGATGCTTCAGTCTCTGAAGGAAGGGCTCTTTCTCTTTCTGCTTTAGCTAGAAGAGGCAAGGTGTCCCACAGAAGTTAGCTGCCCAAGCGTTTTTTGTTATTCAATAAAAAAGAGTCACTAAAATATGTCTCCTTAATAGATTCCTAATAATAAATGTTTAATAAGTATGAGACAAATCACATATGGCAATACCTATCACTGCCGGTTTACTGCAGAAGAAACGGAGATGACTGTCATTAACTGGAGATCTGAAATTAGGTGGGATGTGCTCTCTTCAGAAATGAGAACAGTCCAACCTGTAACTGCATCAGCATAACTGCATTTCTGTCACTTACTGTGGATTGGCAGGAATAATGGGGTGCACTCTGCTAACTGTTTTATCAGGTTGTGGCTGTAAAGGCACTAAGTCAAATCCAGCAGGAAGAAATACTGTAGTGGATGTTTTATCAGTAAGTAAATATTCCGGTTGAATCAAATGAAATAGGTCTAGCAGGCAAAACAACTCGTAGCAAATTCTAAATTATGGTAGATAAAGCAGATTTTTAACAAACTCTCGATCATTTTGATGCTGATAATGTCCCTGTTTCTCCCTCTACCAAGATTGCTCCAATCAAATGAAATGTCCAGAAATGAAGAATAGGATACGGACACTGATGTGCCTTTTATTTAATTTCTGTTATTTTCCGTTTTTTCAGGGCTGTATGTATTTTTCTATGGATTCTCGAGGTGGCCTAGGCAGATGAGATGAATTGTGTCTTACACATGGCAATAATATGAAACAAACAGTAATAGCTATTGGTGGTGTTCTTATGATTCCTTGTCATTCGGATGCTTTATCACGCTCCTTAAATGAAATTATTTTTTTCTACCACAAACAGAGAAGAGATCAGGATTATGACTGTGTGCATACATATGTGTTTTGTTTTTTTTTTTTTTGCTTTGCATGTTTGTCTTCTGAGGTTTCAAACTTTTTTTTTAAGATACTTTAATTTTTTCCAATGTTTTATCAAATTTAAAATCTTCTGAATTTCCCTTTTTCAGAAATAGGACTTTGTTCTGCACTGCTATAAATAGCACATGCTGTTGCTCTGTGTTTCAGGAGGCCAGTTGTCTGTTGACAGAAGACATTTAGTTCTATCTTCTGGAACCCTAAGGATTTCAAGGGTTGCTCTGCATGACCAGGGACAGTATGAATGCCAAGCTGTCAACATTATTGGATCTCAACGAATTGTTGTATACCTGACCGTACAGCCTAGAGGTATGTTCTCCATGTACAGCTGCTGAAAAAAAAACCAAAAGATTTAAGCTTAAGCTAAAATACATAGTACTGTGTTAGATTTTTTTGTTTTTTCCCCTAAAATGTAAGATTGAGAATTAATTATTTCTGATGGCACACAAAATGTGATGTGAAGTCGTTCATCTTTGTTTAGAATTAAAAAAGCTTTTGAAACAGAGCTTGAATAGTGCTTGGGTTTTTCTTCAGGTCTTTCGCTGCATTTTACAATGATTCTAAGTTGCTGATTTTGAATTATAAGGTGTTTTATTAGTTTTTATAAATTGAGCATGTGGGGGAGTGTGCCCTTATAGTCTTTGTTCAAAGTCACTTGGAGACTACATTAAGCTTACAACTAAACACGGCCTTTTTTGATAAAAGCTTGTTAGAATGAGGCTGTATGTTTCATTGTTTAGAAAACTTGCTGTTCAGGGTATTGCTAACATTTCTCATTTCTGATCGTTGTTTCTGAGTATGTCCATTTTTGGATTCCAGGTGGTTTGTAATAAATAACATGTACGGATACTTATCAGTATTTGTACAGAGTATCATTCCTTTAGATCAATCTGTCTGCTGTGAAAGAGGTTTATCTGATTTACTCTTTTTTTGTAAAGAACGGAGGTTTGCTTTGTGGATGACTGTGTTCCTATGCATGGGAAAGTATTTTGTTTTGTGAAAAGACTAGTTTCTTATAAGACTCTATGCTGTTAACTAAATAGTGTTATTAACATAATGTTTTGATGTCCAGAAAGAGAACACTTTATTTTACAATGGCAGAATGACCTGCACAGTGAAAAGTCATTCCTATACTTAAACTGGCACAGGGGAAAAAAAAAAGAAACCGCTCAATTTTTCTTATCCTTTTCTTCAAGTAAATTCTAAGTAAGCGACTTCCAGGGTTAGACTCATATTTGTAATTTAGTTAAGCGCTTTGGTGTTTAACTAAACTTAAGGAGATTAAACATTTAATTCAAAGCATTTCTTGTTAGTGACCTCATTTTAAACAGTATTTTAGTGAAAGGGACTCAAATGTCTTCCTGAGTTTAGATGTTTGTCAGAAAAAAATTCCGTCGATTTTTCTTAGTTAAGAGTAATACTGGGAGATTGAGTTGTCAAAATTGAGGGTTTTTTTCACCTATATAAAATCGTTGACTAAAATTCCATAAAACAAAACTCAGTTTTAAAAAGTTTTTTAGCCCTCCAGCTGTGTTAAACTTCACTGAACTTAAGTTCAATAAAATTATTTTTGTGTAACTCAGGTTGCAAAATCCAGTCACCAAAAGATAGTAAATACAAGGATGAAGGCTGCATATGCAGTCTGAAATTGGAGCTCTCCATACATTCATTGCAATGCTATTTTCAGTTGTGCAAGAAGAGAAAACATTTTCTTCTGGGCTTCTAACAAAAGGATTGTTCATCTGAGGAATGTCTGGTCAGTGGTCACTGTGGGTAAATCTGTATTAATGAATACAGATTAATGGTCCAGGTCTGTTTGCTGGCATGACATGGCTCACATCCACAGAGCCAGACTCTCTTACCTCCCAGTGCTGGGCGCCTGCCTCTGGGTGCCTTATTTGAAACGGTTTCTGCTCCTTGATAGCTGTTTGCATATAAAACAATTTAACACCAGGGCCAGATTTGGTTGGTAGTACAAATGTATGCTGTGTGGCCAAATACTTCTCTGTAAAAGCACTTGTACTCCCCCAAAATAACGATAAGTTACAGCTGAAATAAAATTCTTAATGTCTTCATAATCTCGTATATGCTTCTCATGATGATATCTGAGCGCTGGATATCAATCTGGTTTTGAAGGAAATTAGGATTAGAAAATGCATTCATTTTCTTCACACTGTATTTAGGTGACTGTGTATCCTGTGTCCTTAAAACTGAAGTTGATTTTTTGATGTTTTAAGGCCTAGGGCTCATTGGTGTCAGGGAGGTGAGAGCCCTGTGAAAGCTTAGCACCTTGGCAAGTTGGGCTGGGAGTATCAAAGTTGAATGAGTTGTGGAAAGTTCTGCTTTTATCAGCTAAGAAATCACTGTTGTTGCTATTTGAAAAATTAAAACTTAAGAAAATTGATAGACGCTGATAGGATACTCATTCCGGTGACTTTGTTCAAATTTAGCTATTCAGAAATTTTTGTCAGAGCTTTTAATTTATGGAATTGTTTTGGTTTTGGCAACTACTAGCCTGGTTTTTTAGAAGCTAAGAGTACTTAAAAATCAGCCTGAAGCAGACATCAGGAATAAGGAATTTTATCTCTAAGACAAACTTGTAGAGAGACTAGGGTTATAGATTAAGAAATGTTGGGTAACTGAAAAAAATAAACAGTGCTGACCTCTTTTTAGATCATCTTTTGCACAAGTTGTATTTCATACTTTGTTAATGCATCATTTGTTTTTCTAGTGACTCCTGTATTTGCCAGTGTTCCCAGTGACATGACAGTGGAGGTTGGCACAAATGTGCAGATCCCATGCAGTGCTCAAGGAGAGCCAGAGCCAGTAATTACTTGGAATAAGGTACTAGGTATTTGTTTGGTTGGTGCAGAAAGCCAGCAGCCTTTCCATCTCTTTGTAACTCGCTATTTAAAGTGCACAATGTCAAATCATTGCTTGCTCCGGTGTCTGAAAACATTACCTGAATTTCCATCAGCAAATCTTCTTTAATACAGAGCATGTATACAGATACCAAGCCTGAATTTTGTAGATATAAATATATAAATATATATGGTTATGCAATTCATTATACAGACCAGCTGAAATTCATAATGTAGGCCTTAAAAGGCCTGTGCATTTTAGTGACAGTTCTGTGCAAATATCCTGTTAATATTCACACTTTCAATGATATTATAGATAATATAGATAATAAAGAAATAAAACCCACTGTATTGCTGAGCCCTTTGACAGTGTTAGGTTAACATTTCCAACTAGGACATGTTTCGGTAACTCTTTGGTAACCTCTCTGTGGCTTTGATTTCCATTGGTGCAATCATTGTTATGTCAAACTATTAGTTAGTCATTAGCAGTTACCAGTGAATTAATGGGTTGCTAATATTGATCTTCAATTTTTCTGATTATCGTCCTCTCTTCAATTAGTGAGCACTAGAAAATGTACTTTAATATACCTTAAAGAGCTTCTAAATGCATAGTGCATGAAGAATTGATACATATAAAGGTCTTGAGATCTTTTTTAGTTGGTTAATTTTGAGTAAAATCAAATATATATGTTCTCAAGAGGTCCTATCTTATTTTGGATCTTAAATTTTACGTGGCAAGGTCCTATAACTATTAAAATACTTTGGTTTATAATAATGAGTAATTTTAAAAGTAAATAAACACACCGTACAATTTAGAAATATATGCAAGTCCTCCTGTCAACGTAACAGTGTGTGAGTTCTTTATGTAAGTTTATCTCAATCTCTTTGACTATTATCCTGGCATACAAGATAGAAATATAAAATAAAATGTGAAAATAACAGAGAAAAAGAAGACAAAAATTCAAAAGTTTGAAAACAAAGGGTGTTTAGAATAATTAAGCATTGTGCTTTGCTGCAGGATGGAGTACAAGTAACTGAGAGTGGAAAATTTCATGTCAGTCCAGAGGGATTTCTTACCATTCGCGATGTTGGAACAGCTGATGAAGGTCGATATGAATGTGTTGCCCGGAATACCATAGGATACTCCTCTGTTAGTATGGTGCTTAGTGTTAACGGTAAGGTGTATAAATCAGAGGTATGAGTTAGATTATTAGTTTTATTCTACTTGCTTAACTGTAAGATGCAAAAAAGTTAATAAAATGTTAAATTCTTTCTTCTATTCATATTTTTCTTTTTCTCCCGTAATGCGCTCTCTTTCTTTTTTTTCTTCACTTAATTCAGGCAACTATCTGCACGGATGTGAGTAAGATGCCAAAATGTCTCTAGGAGTTAAGCTTCAAAACAAACAATGCTTTGGGCTCCAGTTAGTCATACTACTTTCCTCTTGTGATATTATTTGGACCTATTAGAATTTGCTAGTTGAATACACAGTCTAATCTTTAGGGATAACTTCACAAAAAGTCCCGTGGAATCTTTAAAGGGGCACTTACAGCACTTGGTTGAAAATTAGGCTCAGAGGCTGAGGAAATAACTTTGTTACACAGATTGACCCTAATGCTTTTCTGACTTACTGAGTAAACCTGCTGATTTTTCAGACTCATTTTGCTGGAAAATATTAAGGAAACTGTGATTTTTTTTTTATTTTTTTTTTTTTTGCCTTTCAGTAGACAATATGACACAATATTTATGTATCATTGAAAATGGGTATTGAGCACTGATTTCTTCAACATATTGGATATTGTTTCCCAGTGTTATGTCTGATGGTCTGGTTTTGTTTACTAAATTCATGAATATCTATCAGTGATTTTTCTAATGTATTGCTTACCATGATATCAATCACATGGTATCAATAAAACTGTGATGTTCCCTGGCTTAAGTTGCTTTTAGTAGACTATCAGTTTATCCCCTCCTCTATGAAAAATAATATTTCTTCAGTCTGTAAAGATGATTTCTCAGAGAAAAATTGCAGGACTAGAAATCATTCAATGATAAGTTTTCATCTATATATCTGAAGTTTGTGAATGAAAAAAGTCCATAAAAATCAGTTCATCTTGGTTACTCTGGAGATGCATAGAAAAAATATTTTTTGTTTAAAAAAAGAGATTAGCCAGAGCTCAAATCAATAAGATCCCTGAAAAATGAAACCATCAGTTGAACTGTAACCCAATGGAAACCAGTTTCATTCACTTAGTGCAGGTGTCAACTGCTCATTCTCATCTGCTGAAATTAGCAAACTACAAAACTTCGTGCTAGCTGATCTGCAGTGTTTAGTTGTAATGTGGTTATTTTTCTTATAAACTGTAACATCAATAAATCTAAAATTAGTGAAACCTCCCTTGATTAGTCTGCATTCAGTCTGAAAATGTAAAGTATGGTTCTCCTTAAAACTTGTGGGGTATCAGATACTATTTCTCAATGGTTGCTATAGATATGAAGCTGTCAGAGAAGCAAAGGAGGACAAGTGGAGAGTACTGGATACTTGCTATCTGAATAGTATTAATAATGGCATAACCAGAAATGCCTAAAAACTTGCATGTCAACGTTTCTTTTAAACAAATTTAATGTTTTATGAATGTTGCTAATGCACAAAAATGTTTTGTTAACATTGAGACAGAATAAAGTCAAGTGTATAGAAGTGGGGGGAAGGTTTGCTGGCCTTGTTTGATAATATTTTAAAGACGCTTTTCTTTTGCTATTTTCCTCTGTCCTTTTCTGTTGTTATGTAAAAGTCTCTGGATTAAGCATAAGGCAGGATGTGTGTGGATTAAGTTTTCATTGCTTAAAAAAATTGCCATTTTTCAATCCTGTTTTTTTTTGCCCCTTTTTACCCCCCCCCCCCCCCCCCCCCCCCAAAAAAAGAGGTATTATATGGAAGGCTTGCAGAGCTTTAACTTTTAGTTTTTATCAGTCTAAAAAGAGAACTACTGGCAGCAAATAGTCCAAATGAAAATAAAGTACAGTATAGTTAACATCTGACCAAGTTTTATAATTCAGCCCATGTGTACCATTACTCAGAAAGATAGCTCTGCAAAACACATATCTAAAGTGAACACTGAGATTACATCTGTCGTAGACAGCACTGGGGAAGGTAACCAGCCACCAGATTTTTACAGTCTGCAATGTTCCAGTGTTAAGGTGGTTCATGGCACATAAGCACTCTCTGACACAACTCAAATGAGGGTAGCAAACCTGTGAATGGTATTTCTCCTTAAAATAAGTAGCTTATCTGATAATGTTTCTGTATGATTGCTATGAAAATGAAGCTGTCAAGCAAGGAGTACAGTTGGTAATTAGGACAGGTCAGGGACTATTGCTCTTGGGCACTGTGGAAAGGGTCAACTCAAGTCTTGGATGCCCCGAGTACGTTGTCAGCAGCCCAAGGCAGCTGGCCTCAGGGCAGAGAAGGGAGCTTCAGCTACAGCTATAGAGTGCCAGGGACTGTTTTATTTGACAGTATAGATAGTTAAGGCCAATTACCCAGGTGTGGATTCTTAAACTCATATAGACACAGCCTAAGCTGCCAGTTATGAAGGAATAATGAAATATTGCATAGAAGAGAAAGAGACAGTCATGAAGAACTTGCAAACAACAGGTTTTATGTCAGCTGATTCTGTACATCTGCTGATTTTATTCCAGTGTATTTGCTTTGGACTTTTTCCCTACTTCACCCTTCTCACTGTGTTACTTCTCCAATCTAAACACACTCTGGAAATTGTTAGCTATTGCCCCTGGATCTGGTAGTTCTTGGTTTAGACTGAAAGGGAGGTTATTAGCCCTAGATACGTTGTACAAACATCCAGCTGCAACTGAGTACTGTATAAAAAGGCAGCTGAATGGGCCTATGGATTAGCGAGTTTCCAGTATTATGCAGAGTCGTTAAACAGCTTTGAAACATGTGATTTTTAACATAGTTTTAAAAAGCTAGGTAATTTTAAAGTAGAAAACAAAGTAGTGATCAAAATAAATAGAAAATTTGTAGCCTTTTAAAATATATGTGTGTTGCTTACTAGACTGAGCTCAGGGGAGGAGCAATGTTAATTTAATGCAGCTATTTGGGAATTTATAAAATTCTGTGGTTTTTTTAGATTTTGGGTTTTTGTGTTTTACTCACTTCTTTGTGAAATTTCTTTGAATTTATTTGATGCATGTGTTCTAAAAGGCAATCTCAGTCTATCAGTATTGTTCACTTGTAATACATTCCTGTAAAACCTTTAAATTCTTATCTTGAATTCAGTACTACTTGAAAGCAAAAAGAATACTTGCATTGATTTCAGCTGATATAGGTCAGGCTTTTGATATCAACACATGAAAGCTGATAATACACCACACCAGAAAAAAACCCCTTAGTAATCATTAATTTTTTCTTTGGTCATTTTACTTGAAATCGTAGGACTAATTAATGGACAGTTAAAAGCTGTATGCATTTATCTTCACTTTATTTTGTTTTAGAATCATAAGTAAGCTGACTCTTAAACTTATATTAACTTCTGTTTTAAATTAATTTTTCTCTACTGTAATATGCTTTGATAGAATTCCAAAATGGTTAAGAATTTTATATCTGGACGAACTGATGCTTAAAGAACAGGAGTTTACTTTGTACAACTGAAATGATGTCGTGTCTAGACTCTGTTTTATAAAAGTATCTTTTTGTATGTGGCCATTTTTGCAATAACATGTAAATTCCTCTTTCTGTAGTCCCTAATGTCAGCCGAAATGGAGATCCTTTTGTACAAACTTCAATTGTGGAAGCAATTGCAACTGTTGACAGAGCAATAAATTCAACACGTACACATCTGTTTGACAGGTATCCTTTTTTTTTTTGTAAATTGAAAAGTCAAAATTAATTTTGTATATACTAGAAATAATGGAACATTTATTAAGCAAAAAGCCATTTTATTATTTAAATGACACTGCCAACATCTGGTTAGTCCTGGGAATAATATATAAGGCTTCCTATTGTTTAAACGCTCCTGTTGAGAACTCTATTCGCTGCAGCAGTTCTTATGCTGAGATAATGTGTATTAAAAGGGCACTAAATGTTTAATTGCTACTAAATGTTCAATATTTTCTTATTTTATTAAACTTTTTTTTTTGTTTGCCTTCCATTTTGAGATGACTAACCAAGGTATGTACTAATCATGTTGCTGAGTGTTTGCATGATTTATGTAGTACTGTTCTTTTGTAACTCCTATGTATACTTACTATTTTTTTCAAATTGTCTATCAGTCGTCCTCGTTCTCCAAATGATTTGCTAGCCTTATTTCGATACCCAAGGGATCCGTACACTGTTGAGCAAGCAAGAGCTGGGGAAATATTTGAAAGGACGTTACAGCTTATTCAAGATCATGTACAAGATGGTCTAATGGTTGACCTGAATGGAACAAGTCAGTACTCTTTCCTTACTTTTCTGTGTTAAAGTGTATTTGCCTTCTTAATTCATTATACTTCAGGAGACATTTACTTTCTGAGTTTGGGTCCCAATTGCAGAACCATTACATTGAAATCAGTGCAGTATTTGACTTTTTGCAAAACTATGCCAAATATATGTTTGCCCAATTCAGTCCTTGGTTTGCATATTGCTATGTTACAGTGTAACACAGTTTGAGCTCTTTGGGTAAAGTGTTCTTATTTTTCCTCACATTGACATATTAGGGGAAAATTCATGTTCAGATTCTTCTACTGGACAAACTTTTCTGTCATGTATTAAAATAATCAGTATTTTGTTTGTATTGTTTGTTTCTTCAAGTAAAACCATTTACTGTCAGTGTGCCTTAGCAAGGAGAAAAGATGATGTAACGAGAAGGATTCATATCTTTACAAACCAAGGTTTCTGCATGTAGCACAATAGTATTCAAAGAATTATTTGCCACTCATTCTATAAGTGTATATCAAACTAAGCCAATTGTTTCCTTAACACTGAATCTGATGTAATGAGAAATACAGTTTTTGCTGCTTTTTATAAATAGCAGAAAATTGAGAGGTTTAATATTTCTACCTTTTAGTTACTGAAGTCCAAGTTCAAATCCATGAACTCCAGCTGGAGCATATACAACTGATGTGTGTAGTTATGTGTGTGGATAGGCTTGAGACATACGAATAAAGCATTTGGAACTAATGGTAGTTTTAGGAGAGCTTTTGAGACTTGAGTCATAGCCAAAAGCTACACTCAAAATCTAGAGGAAATATTTTTACTTATTATATTCTTTTTGATGTTTATAATTGAGTATTTATTGTAACTTCCGAAAAATTTAACCCTGACCATGAGTTAGGCCAGTATTTATATGACCAAAGACTGCAAGCTTTGTGGAATACTGTAACACTTGCTAGTTAAAAGAAGCTTGTAACTCATTATTAGAGCTGAGTAAATAATTTGTGTACCACAAAAACTTACTCAAAATTCTTTGAAGGCTTGTGTTTTAGAAGACAAACCCGATTTAATTTGGTTCTCTGATTAGATGCATATGCAAGCATATTGAACATAATATTAGGAATATATGAAATCTAATATGTGAGAACTGCTTGACTACTCTTCACTAGGATTTGTAATCATGAAATTCAGTCACCTAAAGTTTACCAAAAACTGGCATTAAGGCATACAAATACAGATTAATGAACATAAAATCAGGCAACTTTCTGTGATACTGGAAGTCTTTTCACAACCAGAGCTTGTTTCTCAGCCCTTCAAAATCCATAGAAACCTGGCTTTTAGGGGAAACTTGAATAGTAAAATAAATCTGTTTTCATTTAAATAGCCTAATGCTCAGATTTTAATACTCATATTTGTCCTTATTTGGTTTTATTTCAAAATGCAGAGCCCAATGAAAGGTGTTATTTAGCACTTTTGCACTGGGAACAGTTGAGAAACTTAACAATTTCCTATTCAGAGACGTTTTTTTAATATAAGATCTTGGAATATCTCAAGGACAGACTATGGAGCCAGATTCTCCTCTGCGGTGCCAGACTGTATAACTAGGGGAATGGTCACAAATTGCTGCTTGGAAGGTTCAGGTTGGATGTTAGGAAACACTTTCTCACTAGAAGGCCAGTGCAGCGCCGGAACAACTCATCTGGAAAGGATGAGGAGACTCAGTCTTTGGAGGTTTTCAAGCCCTCTAGACATGGATGCAGCTGAGCCGATCCAGTGCTGGAGACAGCTTTCCTTCAAGCAATAGCTTGGTCTGGGTAAAAGGTCCCTTCTAATAAATATTTCTGTGACTGTATGAAACATCTTCCTTGCAGTTTGAAAAAAGTATAACTAATGTTATGTGAATTGAGCTGGTCAGCTTCTAAGCACTGGAAATGCTTAGCGCCCAGCCTTTTAGAACACAGAGCCTGACTTAGTGCCTACAATGTGATGGGTATTTAAGGGTCTGAGACTGGCATTTATGGCAGCCTCCACTCTGCTCAGAAAGGCATCGAATCTAATCCACAGGTGCAACATTGCCTCCAACTTGAACTTCTAAACAGAGAAGCTGAACCTTCTATTTTAAGTTGGTAACAAAGGTCATGCCGCCCAAAACTTTCATTGTCATCAAGTTTTACTCACAACTTGATTTCAGAAATGTGGGTGGCAACCAGGATAACAACAGCAGATGTGTTTATGTAAAGACTGCATGAACAGTGATCATAAGGAAAGAACTCCATGATGAATGAAGATAATTTAAAAAGGAGTGTTATTATAAAGAAGATATGTTTTCTGGGTGTACTTTTAAAACTAAACTGCTCTAGTAGCCAGCACATTATAATATGTTATCAATAATATCCTCAAATAGTGTGTTTTGCTGCATTACCCAGTGGCGCTTACTAGTTTTGCTCGGTGGTTTATTTTTCTTTTTTGTAGTCTGGAGTATTCCATAAAATAATTTATGTATGTCTACAAGAATAGGATGGTTTTGCCTAATGCAAGCGCTAGGTCTCTCATACCTTTGCTTTGACTTGTAAACCACTCCTAGTACATGTAGCCCGAGGCTGAGAAAACATAGATCCTGCCCCAGGTGAGCAGCTATGAGCAATCCAGGCCCTTTCAAGGCAAAGATGGGCTTTACGTAGTTTGTTTGAAATTGCCCTGCATTGGCAGAGAGCAGCAGTGTGTCTAGCACACGTTTATGTGTGGAATTTAGATGAAAGTTGGTATCTGTGCAGGCACAGTGGGACTGAGCTCGGGACTAAAAGGAACATTTCCCGACTCTGTGCAATTAGCCTGCACTAACATCTCGCAAAAATGGATTCAGTTCATATTCCTGAGTGATTACCATCATGGTGGAAACCCCTTGAGCCCATGGGAACACAGTACCACTGTATCCTCACTCCTTTCCTTTTTTGCTTCTGCCTTTATTCTGCTTTTTGGTTTTACTCCTGACTGCAAGCTTTCCAGATCAAGAACCACAGTGGTGTAAAATGGTTCCTAGTTAGCTAAAAGTATATCTACACTGCCAAATTTCCTACCTCCTGGGCTTTCTTCTGGATCCTGGAACCTTGCTCATCCACACTGTATGTCCATTAATCTACTCAGGGTGTGCCTATGCTTTGCATCAGCAGGGCCCATTTGAAGTGAATCTCCAATTGTCCCCACTTACGGTACTTTGGTTCGAGTTGTGGTATGGTCTTGAACAGTGTGGATTCTTTTCAAGTTCAATGAAAAATGTGGCCCAGGGTCATATTCAGTCCAGGAGAACAAAGTAAATATTTTCTGAAGGCAACCTGCTTCTGTTGCACAATGGATACAATAGGGATGTCTTTCTCTGCATCAAAAATTTCACTCTACAGACACATTTCTGTTGATCTACACAAGTTGATAATGTAGGTATAGCCCAAATTAATGACTTTTTTTTCCTGAAGTGGAGCCCAAATGTTTCTAAGAAAAAAACACTTTTAGAATGACTCCTAATAGGCAGCGTGGACAAGGTGCAGCTTGACTGTTCTGCTATTTGCAGTCACCCAACGCTGTACTAGGAGGCATTATGGTCTTCAGTCCTCCACATGCCGTCATACCACAGCAGCGATCATGCAACACGTAGCCCTGGTTTGAACTTATAAAAACATAATTCTAATGAATTACAGTATATATTTTGTATATATTATTTTTCTGTGAACTGAGAAAAAATGCAGGAAAGCACTAAGTATGTTGTAGTCCCAGAGGTGAGTGGTGTGGATTGCAGAGGAAACCTGTGCCAAGTGTTACACAAACACCAGTTTTCCTTAGAAACTAGTGCTGGGTAATGTGAATGTGAGTTACTCCACACCACCTGCCCTAACTACCACTCCTCTGCTTAGCTATATTGCCTGTGGTTATCTCCTTTTGTGTTTTTTGTTGAATATTTTTTCTTAAAATTCTGCAACTTTTGCTTTAATAAAGCAAAACAAAATAGTAATGTTCAGTGAATTGTCAAGTCTAAAAAGTTAAAGTCTTGAAATCCATGTAAACGTTACTGTCAGTTTTTAAAATGCTTTTACTAACATGGGAAAAATTCCCATTTGTCTCAATATGAGGCTTTTATTTCTGAAAATATCTCTGCTTTCTTAAGTGACCAAATAAGTAATGAGCTCCTTTTGTGAACATTTTGTAAAATCGTACTTGAATTGGCATTTTACAAAATTTCCTCCTGACCTGATAGTGGTGGTTGCTCAAATGACCTAGTGATCTACTATACATATGTGATTACTATTGTTCTTTTGAAACAATAGGGATATTTAATCTGGTGGGAAATGCAATATAATAAAATAACATTTCAAATAAGTTCATGATCTGTGGGGACTATGCATCTATGAAGTCTTTCATTTTCTTTCTGTCTCTCTTCTGGTTTCAGGTTATCACTATAACGACCTTGTATCCCCACAGTACTTGAATCTGATAGCTAATCTCTCAGGCTGTACAGCCCATCGACGAGTGAACAACTGCTCAGATATGTGCTTCCACCAGAAGTACAGGACACACGATGGAACATGCAACAACCTTCAACATCCCATGTGGGGTGCTTCTCTGACAGCCTTTGAGCGTCTCTTAAAGTCAGTCTATGAAAATGGATTTAACTTGCCTCGGGGAATTGAACCCAGGAGGCTCTCTAATGGCTACGCACTCCCAATGCCTCGCTTGGTTTCAACTACTCTGATCGGAACGGAAACAATAACTCCTGATGACCAGTACACTCACATGCTCATGCAGTGGGGTCAGTTTCTTGACCATGACCTTGACCTCACCGTGGCTGCCCTAAGTGAAGCCAGGTTTTCGGATGGTCAGCATTGCAGTTCGGTTTGTACAAATGATCCTCCATGCTTTTCAATCATGATACCACCAAATGATCCCAGAGTTCGAAATGGTGCACGCTGCATGTTTTTTGTACGCTCCAGTCCAGTTTGTGGAAGTGGTATGACATCTCTCCTGATGAATTCTGTGTACCCACGGGAACAGATCAACCAGCTGACTTCATACATCGATGCGTCTAATGTGTATGGCAGTTCAGACCATGAAGCACTAGAAATCAGAGACTTGGCAAGTCAAAGGGGTCTTCTGAGACAGGGCATCGTACAGAGATCTGGCAAGCCCCTTCTTCCATTTGCTACTGGCCCACCAACAGAATGTATGAAAGATGAAAATGAGAGCCCCATTCCCTGCTTTTTAGCTGGTGATCAGCGTTCAAATGAACAGCTGGGTCTTACAAGCATCCACACGCTGTGGTTTAGAGAACACAACAGAATTGCCACAGAGCTGCTGAAACTCAATCCACACTGGGATGGTGACACAATATATCATGAAACACGCAAAATTGTTGGTGCAGAAATGCAACACATAACATTTAGCCACTGGCTACCTAAGATCTTTGGAGAGGTAGGCATGAAGATGCTTGGCGAATATAAGGGTTATGATCCCAGTGTTAATTCTGGCATAACTAATGAGTTTGCAACTGCCGCTTTTAGGTTTGGTCACACACTCATTAATCCTTTTCTGTATCGACTGGATGAAAACTTTGAACCTATTCCACAAGGCCATCTACCTCTTCATAAGGCATTCTTCTCTCCATTTCGGATTGTAAATGAAGGAGGCATTGATCCACTTCTAAGGGGATTGTTTGGTGTTGCTGGTAAGATGCGTGTCCCATCACAATTACTCAATACAGAATTAACAGAAAGACTCTTCTCCATGGCACGTACTGTGGCTTTAGATCTGGCAGCTATGAATATTCAGAGAGGCAGAGATCATGGAATTCCTCCCTACCATGATTTTAGAGTTTACTGTAATCTTTCTTCAGCTCAGACTTTTGAAGATCTGAAAAATGAAATTAAGAATCCTGAAATCAGGGAAAAACTTAGCAGGTGAGCCTGAGGTGAAGAAAAACAATCAACTATCTACATGTGCATGTGAAATTAATAGCTAAATGTCTTGTCTAGAAGAAAATATTTGTTAAGAAAGGGGTAAAGGGATTTTTTAAGAAACTTCCACCCATACCAGGAAATAGATGTGAAAAATTCCCACGTGCAGATAATTTCTCCACTTCTACATCTCTGTGAACAATAGGAAGTTAATATATACTGTATGTGTTCATTAAAGTATTAATTGGAAATATCTGCTTTTATAAATGCTATTAAATATGAATCTTATTTCAGTGTAAGGTCATCTTTAATGCCAGTCTCATGCAAGTATTTACATGTTCAGTTCCGTCCATTCCATACACTAAACCAAATGGGAATATTGTTCACTGTATTTTCGTGTGGATATCCTTCACTACCTGTGAAGGGTACTACTATCTGTTCTTCTTTAGAGCATCAGTGTTTGAAAATAAGTCTTCAGCTACCTGCCACCCCTAGCTCATCTACACAAAATCAGACAGAGAATTAGTTACAGCTACGGTAAAAATAAAAAGTGTACACAGGGGCAGGAAAGAGAAGCTGTTGAAAAAGAAAAGGTTCTAAGAAATCAGAATAAAGCTACTAGGAGAAAGGAAATTGTGGGGTAGACTTGCAGACCCTTGCATAAATACCCACATGTTGTTCACAAAATATGTATCACTACCACTGTCATTTTTAGTGAGTTGCTCATATGTCTTGCCCTTAGTTTTTCTACATATTGATGATTTTATAAATGTAAAATATTAGCGATTAAATATTTGTGGTTTTCTATTTATAGGTTATATGGTTCCCCACTGAATATAGACCTATTTCCTGCTCTAATGGTAGAAGACTTAGTTCCAGGAAGCCGACTGGGGCCAACTTTGATGTGTCTGTTAAGCACACAGTTTAGGCGTATTCGGGATGGCGACAGGTAAATGGAAATACCATGGGAACCAAAAGCAATTTTAAATTGAGGATGCTTAATAACAGTTGCAATGTTTTGTTTCTAAATCAAACTGCATTTTATTTTCATTTATGATTTTAATATATAATTGAAAAGGTGAATAATACAGGTTTAAAACATTGTTAGAAGCTATGATTATTTTTTTAAAATCTGTTACTTTTTATGGTGAATGTGTCATATTGACCTCCAAAAAGCACTGCAGCCAACACATGCTGAGTTCCCTTCTACCAGTTATTCAAGTGACTTACCTTTCTGAAAAGTGGATGTTACTCATCTCCTTTCATTGGTATTGAATTATTTCATTGGCAAAGGAATTGTGGTGGTTGAGACAGTTTCACCATCTCTTAATCACAGCTTGGAAATGTGTCACTCTGTGTATATAACCCCTATACATATTTCAATACCAGCAATCTGTGCACCAAAAGAGTGTTAAAAGCAGACAGATTATCCCAAAGAACACAATTTGATAATAGTTCCTAAATTATTTACATGCACATTATGAGCAATTTCTCATTTTTGGTTTGTACAGTACCTGAAATAAGAAAATAGTCATTGCTATTGGTATAGCAGCCAAATGTCTGTTGCATACTTTCAGCATACTCGTTCAGAATCTGAAAATCAGCATTTCCCTCATTTTAACATACTTTGTGACCTAGAATCCCACATGGCATGGCATGAGAGTGGAAGGATGTGCTGATTAGTCCCACCCTAGCGAAAGGGAAACAGGAAGAATGAGGAAATTAGATTTGATTCACTTTATCTAATGTTACTGGCTTTATGTAAGTTATAAGATTGCTACTTAAGATGGTATTTTTTATTTCTGTAGTCAATAACACAAGCCTTTTTGTATGTTTTTTTTTTTTAAACAACTTTCTTACATAAAATCTGTTTAAAAATTAAGCCGTGAAACATAAAACTCTCATGCCTGGAGGCAGAGGGAGTAAAAGGAGAAATATATGCAGTATGAGCTCCAGATTGCCGGTGCCAAGTACCTATTTGTGTCACAACAGGGTAATGATACAGGTTTTCTCTGTGTGTCTATTTGCATTTTTCCAGCAAAAGTTTGGTGGTTTTATTTTTTTTGCTTTATTTTTTTTCTGAAACAACATTTAGAAACTATAGGAAAATATTGAATATTTAGGAAAAAAGATTCTGCTATCCAAAGAATACAAATGTTTTGAAGAAACATGCCAGCAAATAGTAAAATATTATTAGACATAATGAAAGCAACTCTCACTTCTTTGAAAAGCCTTTACAATGGGCAGAGGATCAAAGCTGTCAGCACCATGCAAAACAAATGTGCCTCTGCAGGGAAAAGGAGTGATGTTTGAAGGGAGCCTAACTTCATGTCAAGATGGAAATTTCAGAATCTGTTTTTCTGATCTCAGTACTTGGAAATTCATTGACCATTGTCCAATGCCGTATGAAAATGATAAAATAAGTAGGTAAAAAGAAATTTGTTGACCATTCTTCTAAGTTTAGTATAAAATTGTTACTGATTTTTCATAAAATTTAGAGAGCCTCCTACTCATTTTTGGTGGAAAAAGTATCAATATAGAACTATAATTTTACAGTTTTGTGAGATGTAAATGATATCACAGTGAGCAATTCTTATATGTTAGAATAGTGTAAAATGTTTTCAAATCCTGCGCAGTAACTTAAACCATTTCCTTTTACAAGGGCTGCCACGGTAATGTATTATTTATATTTTCTGCTGATAACAAAACTTTAGCCCTTTATGTATGCAAAATAAATTATTCAAAACCACAGTGTTTCCTCCCTCAATATAATTAATTAACTAAGCATATATTAATAAGTCCCTGAATTAATATAGTCATTAAAATAGTTTTACAGGAAAATAAATTCCTTAGTAAATTAAACAGTCTCACTTACCTTGATTAATAAACTTGGTATAGATTAACCATTCTTCTGATCCCAGCAACTCTATAAATTTTTTTTCATACCCATAGGAAAGAAGTGGAGAAAGAAAGCTATGGTAAATTAAGTCTCTACCTTAAAGGAACCCTAAACTTGGTAGTACAGTGCTGTTTTAGATGTCCAGAGATGCCTAAAGCATTGAAATGGGACTAGAAGAGAAGTCAAGAGATATGTTGAAGACTTGGGCCCTTTCAGAGTATCAGCATGACACCAAGTAGGGCAGAAGTGACACCAAGCACTTAGTTTGGCATCTGGATCACTTTCTCAGATACAATGTAAAGCTGAGAACAGGATTTATGGAATAATTAATTTCATTCTGAATACAGTATTACAATGTCTCTGAAAAACTGCGTGTTTTGTTTTTTCACTAGCAAACTTCTCTTTTCTGTGAGATTACAGGTTATGGTATGAGAACCCAGGTGTGTTCACGCCTGCTCAGCTCACCCAGATCAAGCAGACATCTCTTGCCAGAGTTTTGTGTGACAATGGTGATAACATAACCCGGGTACAACATGATGTCTTTAAGGTGGCTGAATTCCCTCATGGATATAGTAGCTGTGAAGAAATTCCTAAACTGGACCTGAGGATGTGGCAAGATTGCTGTGAAGGTCTGTATACAGGTGGATTTGGGTGTATTAATGTGAACTGTGTTTAGAATCATAGAAATATAGAATGTTTTGGGTTGCAAGGGACTCCTAGAAGCCATCTAGTCCAACCCCCCTGCAGTGAGCAGGGACACCGCTAACTAGATCAGGTTGCTCAGAGCCCCGTCCAACCTGGCCTTGAATGTTTCCAGGGATGGGGCCTCCACCACCTCTCTGGGCAACCTGTTCCAGTGTTTCACCACCCTCATTGTAAAGAATTTCTTCCTTATATCTAGTCTAAACCTACCCTG